AAATAAGGTAATGTATAAGAACGCCAGTGTATCCATTATGATCGAAAGCCGGCTGGGGTCCGCGCGGACCCCAAAAGAAAATCAGATATAATTTTTTTTTATTAAATGGCAAAACGGAGTTTTCTGCACTGTATTGAGAGACAACTTTGTGGGTGACAATTACCTAAATTTCAGAAAAAAATCTTTAGAAACAAAAAAGATATTATAGAATATATAGTGCTGGGGTCCGCGCGGACCCCAGGTGTACTGTTTAGGGTTAACGTGTGTGTGTGTGTGTGTGTTAACGTGCGTGTGTTTAGGTGTGTGTGTTTACGTGTGTGTGTGTGTTTACGTGTGTGTGTGTGTGTGTGTGTTTGTTTACGCGTGTGTGTTTACGTGTCCAGTGTGTTTGTGTGTGTGTGTGTTTACGCGTGTGTTTACGTGTCCAGTGTGTGTGTGTTTACGCGTGTGTGTTTACGTGTCCAGTGTGTGTGTGTATCTCTCTCTGTCTCTGTTTCTCTTTCTCTCTCTCTCTCTCTATATATATATATATATATGTGCGTGTGTGCGTGTGCGTGCGCGTGCGCGTGTGTGTGTCTGTAATGTCCTCCCTCTTGAGTGACGAAACCACGTGCCCGTCTTGCATTTTTAATTGTGTGTGCGTTTTTCGATGCAGGTTTTCAAGAAACAGTTGGAGAACAGACACAGGGAGGCAGAGCCGCTCAAGGAGATGCACCAGCGCGACTCTGTGGAACTCAACCAGGTCTGCTCTTGTTAGGCCATGTTGATTTGATTATATGGATGACATCCTCTGGGAACCCCAAAACTGATGCGAGCGTGCGAATAAAAAAAAAGTTTGGCAAAAAGACAATTATTTTCATTATAAACTCTACGTGGTCAAGAGGGTGGAACGAATGACACAGAGTACGGTATGGCGAATAATCTACTCTTCAAATTCATTTTTTAAAAACATTTTTGTCTTTTTCATTTGATTTTTGGCATTCTACGACATTAATTGGTACGGTATCGTTTTCCAATACCTTTTTTTGCAACTTACGGTTTATAGTCGCTCATTTTGCAACTCGTTTTGTATGATTTACAGAGTGGTTGAAAAGTTTTTTTTTTTTTGGAAACGGCCGAAAATCCATGCGCGCGCGGATGTCATTCAATAATCAAATCGACATGGCCTTATGAAAAAACATATCTATAAGACATCATAACTGTTTCTAATGATTATGCAAATAAGATCCTCATTTGCATCAATTACTTCAGTTGATTATATTCTCCACCCAATGACAGTCTTATCTTAAAAAAGAAGGCCTCACGTAGTCAACATCATACCTACATACCAAAAATCGTGACGATTCATCAAACGGTTCTTGATTTATGCTCCCTCGACGGTTTTTAGAAAAACGCCTCTGCCGTTCCAGAACAAGCTGCTATGGAGCCCAAACTTAATGTCACCTATTCCTGAGCACAAGGGCTATCTACCATCCAACATTCATCACCCGAACATGTATATGATATCACAATACATCAAACCCGGAAGTTCCGCTGCAGTATCATATCAAGCCGACAGGGGGCTCAAAATTTAATAATATCGAGGTTCCATCAAGTTTCATGACAATCCATCCATAGATTCTTTTTGATTGATCGTGCTAAACCTCACCTCACCTCACCGGTCCCATAGCAGTCTGTCCTGCCGTCGGGGCAACTAAACTGTCCACACACCATAACTGTCTATGCTAAACCACATACATACAAACGCTCCCCAAAACATAACCTAGTGACGTAGCGGCAGAGTGCTCGACTCGGAAGCAAGAGGTCCCGGGTTCGAGTCCTTACATGCCACCGATCTTGTGCCCTTGGGAAAGGCACTTTACACGACTTACCTCACTTCGCTCAGGTGAAAAAATGAGTATTGTAGTGTCCCCTGTGTTGGTGGCGGCACTAAAAGTTGAAAAAACTTGAGTCCCCACCACGTCTTGTGATTACATGTTGGAATAAAAAAAATAAATAACCTTCTTGGCCTTCTAATTGCGAAACGGCTATGAACCATCCAACATGTACCAAGTCACCGCTGTGACTGTTTTGATTGGTGCGTTTCCAGGTGAGTAAGGACTTCTACCCTGTACAGTCCTGCGCCAATGACGACTACTGCGCACCGTCAAACCGCAAGAAGCTGGCAGACATGTTAGCAGAAGACAACATGAAGTCTCGTCAGGTAACTGTTATACGTCAGTGACGTGGTTCCGAGGCCGGTCAACGTAGTCTCGATGCCAGTCTGTTTCCGTGGCTTACTCCGAAAAACAATATTGTTACTCCGTGAAGGAGGTCAGGACCTCCGGACGAAGTGTTGTGAAGAGTCGTTTTTTCGTGTTCGCAGTCAAAACACTGGGTTCTCTTTGTGTAATCGGCATGCAATTTTATACGCCGTCTGCGGGCATGCCCGTGTTGATGCACGAATGTGTATTTTTGCCGGTCAATGTAATATTGCAGATGCACCCCTACAATTATGAGGCAAATTGGAATGGCCCAGAAAACCCCATTGTTTGGAATAGCGGTGGGGGGGGGGTGGAACTTCAGGCAGATGGTGAGGGGCCGATAAGTGGTACCACGGCAGTAACACTCGCGGTGCTGGCCGCAACTGTTGCTGGAATTTGCCAGTCGCGCTTAATAAGTAACAGGCACGGTAAGACGGTGGGGCTGTCTTTGTTACTAGTGACACGACCATGATAGTCCGATCTTTATGTTAATGCAATGATTGTGTGTGTGTAATTAAAATGAACTTCGAACTTGAAGTACAGTATCTTTACACGCCCTGAGAGCAGTAATGGATTTAGGTCTTTTTATGTTTTATGGTTTTAACCGTTGCCTTATGTCTGCACAGTAGGTCTGGCGTTGACGCTTGGGATTATTTTTGTTGCAAAATACAAAACTTCACGGAGGATTGTCACCTATGGCTTCTTGTTTGTTCTGTTGGGGGTTGTAGTCAAATTTCCTTGCTGACTCTGTGCTGGCTCAGGAAAAGTCTGGCATCCAGGCTACGGTCAATGATACTTTTTTTTAACTTAGGGAAGAGTTAAATTGAAATCCGCCTATCTTCCTAGCTGTAGTCACAGTTGGATCATTGTTCAATGGTTCCCTGGGTACAAACGTTGATTTCTAGTCGTCCTTGTTACTTCTTTCGTCCAACTTTTCTTATTTAGGTGTCATTTGTATTATTACTATTATGTGTTTGTTCAACAGAAGGTGTTATATTTTCATGCTTTTAGTGGTTTTTAGTGAATTTTAGCGTTAACTGGATATATTCGTGAGTAACAGCGCAATTTAGAACCCCTGAAGGGTTTCTGCAAAACTGTTTCACTTTGAAAGTTAAATGAACAAGTCACATAACTTGATCTAAAATAACCATTTCTGATGTCGCTTCCTGTAATAAAAGACTGGTTAATTGTGGAAATACATGTAAATGAACCACAGAACATGCTGGCAGCCTATAGCTAGATTGAATTAGGCTGAGGTCTGGTTACAATAAGTACAAATGCAACAAACAGGAGTTTACATATATAGATTAAAATGCGAACGTTTACGTTGATCAAAATCTTGTTCAATTCAGCACTGATATGCAACTCGTGATATCAAGCTTTTAATGCCCGTAGCCAGGGGGGGTTCGGGGGGTTCGGAAGAACCCCCCCACAAGGCTCAAAGGTCCACTTTTTGGTCCACTTTTTATGTAAAGGTCAACTTTTTGGTCCACTTTTTATGTAAAGGTCCAAGATTTTTCTTGAAAAGATGCACTGGAATCATAGAAAAACTGCTCCCTTTGTCATTGAATAAAAATTCCCTTCAAGCAGTGGGAAGAACCCCCCCATTCAAAATCCTGGCTACGGGTATCCGATTAATTTTTTTAATAAAAAAATTAATCGGATGCTTTTTGTTTTAAATTGTTGACAGAAAAACGCGAAAAGACGCCCCCCGTCTGACGACACCGACCCGTTCCCGTGGAGCGAGCCGGGCCGAGCCCCCAGCATGACCGACACCATCACCGGTCGCCGGGTCCGCCTGCACCTGGCACACTAAAGTAAAATTGAATGAAAGACCTTTATGGTACATTTTTTCTCATTGCAAACTAAGTACAGGTCACGGCAAATAGCGATGGTAGACTAAAATATATCTATAGTAAAACTACATATGTACAGGTTCTGCTGCTTCTCGCTTCTTAAGACAGTTGTGAATATAAGAACATATGGAGCTTTTAGTACGAGGTTTATCGAGTTTCATGAGGAATGTGAATTTTTCTTTTCTATCTAAAAAAAACTAAAACTAGGGAAATAATTTTGTATACAATTGAAGAGAATCTTTCTCTCATTATTATATAGAGTACAGTCCACAATAAAACGCCTCTCGTCTTCAATCTCATTTAGGTTACACTAGTGACAAATTCTTTGTTGCAGGGATGCACGGTTGTCTCCAGGGCTTACACAGGAACAACTTCTCGGCTCTAGGACTAACCTGCCCCCGATCGAAATTTTGCCACTGTTTCAGAGTTAATCTTCCACTTTCACCAGTATCATATGCAAAGATAGAGGAACTACTTGCATCACTTGTCAAAACGGTTATATGTAGCGTATCAAATTGTATTGCACTTGAAAATGACGGGTTTACCTCTATTTGGTACCACTAAAAGCACACTAGCTGAACTTATTTGATGTTGATCTTAACGATTGTGAATTGTGATGTTCACCTATATTTGGCACATTTGAAGCACATATTAATAGTATGTTATATTATATATATAAAGATGGAAGAACTATGATAGGATTAAGAGGCTGTCTAGTTTATTTGATTTGTACATCAGGATCCATTAGTAAAATTCCACGCTATTCTCCCTGGAGTCAACATGAAATGACAGGTATTTTAATACCGCAATGGAATTATAGCATTTTCTCATTAATTATTATACAAACAATGCATTCATTTGCACAATCCTTACATGTCAATGCTCCTCTTGTTCTTTTATATAATATGTCACACCTTTGAATCATCCTATCATGGAATATAACAGATTTATAGAACAGATTCCTCATGACGTATGCAAATTAGATCTTCATTTGCATAATTTAATCATGTAAAGCATCAGTTCAGCTCATGACCTACATACCAAAATCCATGAAGGTTTGTCAACCGGTACGTTCTTCAGAGTTTAATATTCTACTTCAAACATTTAAAAAAGCGATAAGATCAACTGATTTATGATCAGAGCTAGGATTAAATGGTTACCCGGGATATCACACACACACACACACACACACACACACACACACACACACACACACACACACAGAGAGAGAGAGAGAGAGAGAGAGAGAGAGAGAGAGAGAGAGGCATACACAATACACACACCGACACACACGCGTACACACACACAGACACACGCGCGCATTGACACACATACACACACACGAAAAGTTGGAAAGGAATATTTTGCATTGGCTTGCAAATACTTGCTAGTACTGTAGTCGTTGTATCATGGCGGAAACATCACTTTATGCGGTGGTCAAATGTACTGCAGCCTCTTTACTCTAATTGAAATCTTACACATAACACATTATGGCAAACAAGAAACAAGATTCCGGTGTTTTGAAAGTAAGTTCACATTACCTAATAGATATTTCCATACATTCACAACTCATAATCGAATGATCTTTTTAATGATTTTCTTTTATGACTGTCTACCCGCACTATTTTGTACCCGCTTGGTTCTTGAACCGCGGATGAACAACTGTGCTCTGCGGTCGCCAGAAATTCAGTTCAGACGGCGTACGTAGTTTGGAAGTCTGGCGGGTTTGAGTTAGTTAGCTGTCTACATCGTCCAAGTCCAGAGAAATTCAGTCACCAGTTTCAGCATCAAGGCGGATTTTAACAGTGGGATCTGTTGCAGGTACGTACAAACGCTCAGTGGAGTGGACCAAACTTGAAAGAACGCTGGGTGAGACACATGTCTGACGTGTGAAGTTTTGTGCACGCACATGTACCGGTCCTTGATTCCATTTCGTACTGTCTACTGACCTTCGCAAACAGTCTGCATTGCTGACATGTCCCTGTCAGACTGCACCGATGTATACTAGCAAAAGTTTTCATATTCTTTTATCATGTCGTTGATAAACAAGCTCGTTGGAGGGGTAAGAAATAACGCGTTGCAATGTGGTGTACTGCGCCCACATTTGGTTTCCATAAAGAAATCAGGGACGGTTCACTATCGTTCTGCAACGCGGTGTACTGCGCCCGCCATCTGGTTTCCATAAAGAAGCCAGGGACAGTTCACTATTGTTTTGCAACGTGGTGTACTGCGACCACATTTGGTTTTCATAAAGCAGTCAGGGACAGTTCACTATTGTTTTGCAACGTGGTGCACTGCGCCCACATCTGGTTTCCATAAAGAAGTCGGGACGAATCACGATTCACTATTGTTTTGCAACGTGGTGTACTGCGCCCACATCTGGTTTCCATTAAGACGTCATGGGACGATTCACTATTGTTTTGCAACGTGGTGTACTGCGCCCACATCTGGTTTCCATAAAGAAGTCAGGGACGGTTCACAATTGTTTTGCAGGTCGGGCCCTATACAAATGTACTACTAGCTAAACTTTTAATCGGGCGTTTGGGACTGTCACTGTCCAGCCTTGTTTCATAGCTTTCGTCTGCTACCCAGGTAGCCTTGGTGCCAGACGCACAGCACACTAGGCTCAAGGTTATCCTGTGTATCCTGCACACAGGATAACCTAGTTAGAGCCTAGCATGCATGTCTGGCACGTAGGCCACTACCCAGGCTACGAAAATTTGGGGGTCATTCGGAAAATGCTCTCTCTGTAGTTGTGGATCTGCCTGAGGCCTAACAAAATAAATGTTGTGTTTCCTATTACAGTCCAGAAAAAATTAGGGTCGGTAGGTAGGGATTTCCTTTTTTTTTTTTTTTTTT